ATGACAGTCTTGTGAGCTGTAAGCTCTGGCTCAGGCACCTACCCTACCCTAGAAAGGCTGGGCATGGTGTCGATGTGGACCTTTTTTTTTTTTTTTTTTTTTTCGCCGGTATTCTCCCGGCCCGGGTCTTTTCCAAGTAGTGGTGACCCGGCCTTGGCTCCCTATCTGGGGAGTGTCTCGAGACTTAAGTCTCCCATGGGAGGAGGTACAAGTACCTCCTCATCTTTGGGACCAAGTGTCCCCAGGCCTAGCCACATTCCCCGCCCTCACGGGGCTCGTAGGGAGAAGCTAGGCCTCTGGTCTGCCATCTACCCCACCTCAAAGGGGCTCGTGGGGATGGCAGTCTGACCTATTACAAATGAAATATGTATCACCAGGAATACAGGTAAATATATAAATTTGTGGACTGTATATTAAAATTAAAAAAAGGATTATATATACACACGTTTACATAACAGAAGGAAAATATCTTAATATCACTCACCAATTTGACTGGAGATTAATGTGTCATGTACAGGACCCCCCCTTCCCTTTTGCCTACATTTATGAAAAATTTACTGGCCAGAATTTAAGCATAAATTAGACAGCTTATCTGAGGTTCCTGGAGTTGTCCTGTCCTGTCGCCCCCAATGAAAAGCAGGGGTCACTAGCACGTTAAGAGACCATACAATAAGTGTCAGGGGCCCAAGACTGTTCAACTGCCTCCCAGCATACATAAGGGGGACTACCAACAGACCCCTGGCAGTCTTCAAGCTGGCACTGGACAAGCACCTAAAGTCGGTTCCTGATCAGCCGGGCTGTGGCTCGTACGTTGGTTTGCGTGCAGCCAGCAGTAACAGCCTGGTTGATCAGGCTGATCCACCAGGAGGCCTGGTCACAGACCGGGCCGCGGGGGCGTTGACCCCCGGAACTCTCTCCAGGTAAACTCCAGGTCGCCTGATACTCAAGTTATGCAGGAATGCACATCCAACAATTTCGGCTCCTATTTGAGAGGTGTCAGCCCAATTTTACCTCTAGAACACGAAAATTCTTCCCAATATTCACTAACAGTTGATACTGTCTCGTTCAAACATGGCGAGCTCGTCTGCGCAGGCGCAGCTTCCCATTTTTTATGACAAAATTTTATTAAATACAGTATGACCATCTATTTACATATAACTACTGTATTACTGGAAAATATATACAGTATTTTCCACAGTAGCTATCAAGGAGAAGTTTGAGAGGGTTTATATTGGAGTTTTATGTTCTATATATATAGTAAGCAGAGTAATATGAGTGCATATTTTGTATATTACATAAGTTCAAGTCTACACTGCAAACTGAATTGTTTGCAATCCTAATGGCGCTAAAGCTAACCTATGACACTGAGCTTGACTCTATCATCATTACTGATTCTATGTCATCATTGAAGGCTCTTGGCTCATATAATGACTCCAACAACATGCTCATTGGGGAAGCCAGGTATAGATACTCAAAAATTAGGGACAAAGGAATTAATGTACAATTGCTATGGATCCCATCACACATTGGATTACTCCTTCATGATAAAGTTGATAAGTTAGCCAAGAAGAGTATCGAGAATGAGAACATAGAATATAACTTTGGTATAACTGTGTCTAGCATTAGGAATAATATTAGGAGAGAAGTAAATAATGAAAATGATTGTTATAGGAATGCAGTTAGAAGCCTGAGTAGATCTATAACCCACTATGATAACATGAACGTAGATAAGTATGTTTATGGAGCAACTTGCAGTGTGAACAGACTGACTGATGTTGTAGTGGCCAGGCTTAGGCTTGGTTACAAGTACTTCTGGCAGTTTGGGAGACACACAGATGATGATCAAACTAAATGTAAATTATGTGATCAGGCACATGGTCACTCTCTTGAACACTATGTTCTTAATTGTCCACTTATTGAGGAATACAGAGACAGACAGTATAATAACCTATGTGACATGTCAAGATATCTTATTAATGAAAATAAGATACCAGATATACTAAGCAAATTTCCTAAATTTGCTTGTAACAGATAAGTGAACTATAGATATGTAGATATAAATCCATATGTATTCCTGTTAACCCTTTGGGGCCTAGTTCCTAGGCCTTTTGTGTATCCATATGCTCTCGCGCTTCCGTCCACAGGATGGATATGGGGTGCACAATAAACTAGCCACTTCGGTGGCAAAATCTAATCTAAATCTAAACTCTTGAAAAACAGAGGGGTGTGTTGTCTGGCTCAGGAATGGGTGATCATTCCCACTAGCTTTTTGTTAGGTCATTAATGGTTTAAGGAGATTAGTCGTAGTAGATCCCCCCCCCCCGCACAAATACCATAGGTGAGATAAGGGTTGATTAGAGAGTGGTAAATTGTAATTAGTGCCATTTGGGGAACATAGTACCGTATCTTAGAAAGAATGCCTACTGTTTTGGAGACCTTGGCTATATAGCTTGCTTCATTATGTGCTGGAATGATATAAAATTAATGAATTCAGAGACAATTTACTCATAAATGTTCAATAAATGTCAAAGAATTTTATCCTCTGGCGTATTACCAATTATTCTTAAAAAATACCCTGAATTTGCCTGTTGTGAATAATGCATAACCATTTAAACTTGTTTAAATCCAGGCATACCTTGCTATAATGTAAGATAATATCAATAATTCAGAACCACATATAAGTTACTTTGTAATATTTTTGTGATTTAATTCAAATTTGCATTAATAACTCATTATGATTATATCGAGATATAAACACAATTCATTACCACTGTAACTTGCTTAGCTATCAAAATTGCAGCCCAGTCCCTGGAGTTATTATGTGCCTCTGTAATATTATTACCGCCCACAGGAAGGATATGGGTGCATAATAAAGATATTAAACTAACAAATTCATTCATCCACCCCATACAAAAAACGCAAAACAACCCATAGGAGATTAGATCAAATAAACTTACACTATCTATAGCCTCTGAGGTTAAATCCAGGGCAAGTGAGACATGAACAGTTTTCCCTGCTCACCTAACATTAAATAGGAACCTAGGTGTTAGTCGACTGCTGAAGGTGAAATCAAGAGTGGTCAAGTGTTAATAAAAGCAGGGACACTACAAACAGCTCTACACTTGCTGCTAATGGGTAGTTTAATTCATTATACGTAAAAGGTACAATAAGTTAAAGCATGGGGTGGAGATATATATCCTTCATCTTGACCGAATCTGATTATTAATAAAAATACACCTTATTAACTTACTTTTAAGGTGAAATTTAATGTAGGAAGTTAGTGACAACTTTGATGAGGCTGTGTATACAAAATCGTCCTTGGTGGTGATATATTATGCTGATACTCTAATGTTTCTAGTGTTAGCTGTAACTTAAAGATTATTAACTAATTATATTGTTCAGCGTCATTTCAAGAGCGCACAATAATAGTTATCTGTATTAACGCATAATTATTAATAGCATAAAGTCAGTTTTGAGTATTTTATTATCTGTTCAGGTTGATTGGTTGCTTAGTGGGGTTTAAAACCTATCGAATACACTGAGGTTATTAAAGCTGCACGTAACCCTTTGACCACCAGATAAGACTGATTTAATCCCTATACAGAGATCCAAGTTTTCCTTGGCGTATATACGCTGAGAGAAATTCACCTCTCAGGGTATATTCTGTATATCCTATGATCTATTCACCTATCCCTAGTTCATTTCAAGGGAATAAAAAATCTTACAGGTTTAGTGCTTCCTCATGAATGTAATAATAACTAGATGTGTTTCTGTCGCTACGCGATCCGAGAATGGTATCCTGGTATACTCTAAGCCCAGCTCCCTCTACCTCAGTGATCGATAGAGACATCCCTGTATCCGAGAAAGGTATCCCTCTATGTCCATAAGCCCAACACTAGGTATACCAAAATGCTACAAGCCCGCTATACACGAAGGGAAGAAATACTTCTTGACATTCTTGTGGTTCATGCCTTGAACAGCTTATCCCTGTCTACCCTGTCAATTCCCCTATTTTGTTTGTTTGTTGTTATCATGTCTTCCCTGGTCCTTTTGTCCTCCAATATCTCTAGATTCAAATCTCTCCTCAGAGCTCACGCCCCTTAACTCAGGAACAAGCTTTGTTGAATACTTCTGCACTGTCTCCAGTTTCTTAACTTGCTGAAAGAAGAGTGGGCTCCATACCGGTGCTGTATACTCCAAGATGAGCTTGACTTATGTTGCATAAAGAACCCGGAATGACTTGAGATTCCTGAAGGCCGCTCCTTGATTTGCCAGACGTGCATTTGCTGCAGACGTTATTCGGTTGATGTATGTGTGTGCAAATGCATGTGTGGGTGCTCGTATGTATACATGCGCATATGTATGCTTTTGTTTTTATCTATGTGTACATAAGTAAATGTGAACCTATTCGTATTCATATGTACACATTTGGTATGAGCGGCTGGATAATGGGGTGGCCGCTATAATGTCTGGGCGGCTGGTCACTAGGGCGGCCGGTATGATGTATGGACGGCCACTATAATGTATGGGCGGCTGGTCTCCGAGGGCGGCCGGAATGATGTATGAGCGGTGGTCACTGGGACGACCGATATAGTGTTCTATGGGCGGCTGGTCACCGGTTCAGCCGGTACAATGTATGAGCGATTGGTCACTGAGGGCGGCCGGTATAGTGTTGTATGGGTGGCTGGTAAGTTTATGCAGGTACAAGTACACATAAATACAGTTACATAAATTATCATACATAGATTACCTAGGATAACCCAAAAAGTCAAAGTGACTTACTTCCATTGGGGTAACTGGGGCAACCTGTATAGTATTGTATGGGCGGCTGGTCACTGAATCAACCGGTATAGTGTATGGGCGACTGGTCACCGGGGGCGGCCGGTATAATGATATATGGGCAGTTGGTCATCGGGGGCGGCCGGTAGTGTTGTAGGGGCAGCTGGTCACCGGAGGGAGGCCGGTATAGTGATATATGGGCGGCTGGTCACCAGGGGCGACAGGTATAATGATGTATGGGCAGCTGATCACCTGAGGCGGCCAGTATAGTGTTGTTTGGGTGACTGGTCACCAGGGGGCGGCAGGTATAGTGTTGTATGGGCGGCTGGTTTAGTGTTGTATGGGCGGCCAGGCCGGTGAGGTGGCCGGAAGGACGTGAATTGCCTAAATCACACCAGTTACTGCCACTTGTTTTGGCGCCGCCACCCTTCTAAACCCGCCGCCGCCATCGCCCGCCCAGCCGCCCAAACACAAAAATCATCCTATAGGCTTACAACACCCTAACAAATTACAGCCAGAATAAGCCTGAGGAGGAGATATAAGCCAGGGTGTGGGAGACGGGTGAGGACGTCACCCAGTTGCTGCAACGATCGTCCACACTACACTGCAAGTGAGTTGCCAGGCCTACCTGCTAGTCTACTAGGCCTATCTGGCCAGGTACTAGGGTGATACTGGGCGATATTATGTCTATGTGAGACCAACCAGGTGTGAGGGAAGGTTGGTAGACACGTGTGGAGGAGACACTATGGACGTCAACACGAGCCTCGGTTATGCATGTACTAGGGTCATCAGTCCCTGGCATATGTAATGTACTGGGGGAATCAATCCTTGGCATATGTAGTGTACTGGGTCATCAATCCCTGGCACATGTAATGTACCGGGACATCAATCCCTGCCAAGGACCCAAATGGAAATAAGTCACTTTGTCTGACTTTGGGGTTATCGTAGGTAGTAATTTACACATATGTTACTATGAATGATAATTGTACTTCTGTGTACCTGTGCCTAAATAAACTTACATATCAGTAATATACTGGGTCATCAATCCCTGGCATATGTAATGTACCAGGTCATCAATCCCTGGCATATGTAATGTACCAGGTCATCAATCCCTGGCATATGTAATGTACCAGGTCATCAATCCCTGACATATGTAATGTACCAGGTCATCAATCCCTGGCATATGTAATGTACCAGGTCATCAATCCTGGCATATGTAATGTACCAGGTCATCAATCCCTGGCATATGTAATGTACCAGGTCATCAATCCCTGGCATATGTAATGTACCAGGTCATCAATCCCTGGCATATGTAATGTACCAGGTCATCAATCCCTGGCATATGTAATGTACCAGGTCATCAATCCCTGGCATATGTAATGTACCAGGTCATCAATCCCTGGCATATGTAATGTACCAGGTCATCAATTCCTGGCATATGTAATGTACCAGGTCATCAATCCCTGGCATACGTAATGTACCGGGTCATCAATCCCTGGCATACGTAATGTACTGGGTCATCAATCCCTGGCATATGTAATGTACTGGGTCATCAATCCCTGGCATATGTAATGTGCTGGGTCATCAATCCCTGGCATGGGACAGTAGGCATTCTGCAGTGCTCCTTTCATATGTAATGTATAAGACTCTCCAGCCTCTGACATGTAATCTATTGAACTAGTTTACCAGGCCACCAGCTGCCTCTTTCCCTCATGGCTAGAGAGAATGTCATGCTTGTATACAATTTATACATATGAATTGAATTGAATATTGTACGAGGTTAGGAATGATATACGGTGGTACCTTGAGTTATGAACTTAATTTGTTCCAGAAGACTGTTCGAGTACTGATACCGAACTAATTTGTTCCCATAAGGAATAATGCAAATTAGATTAGTCCGTTACAGACCCCCAGAAATACACTTACATAATTGTTTGAGTCGGGAGCTGTTTTAAACTCGAGGTACCACTGTTTGAATGAGGTACATAGCATAGTTTGTGTGCCTCAAAGGACCCAGGTCGAATCCTGGCAATGTTGGACGTGTTTTCATGCACTTGGTACCCCTGTTCAAGCATTAAGTAGGTACCTGGGTGATAGTTGACTGTTGTGGGTTGCATCCTCAGGGACTCGGTTAACCTAAGTTGTCTGAAATGCTCTGCATAGTAGGGGCTTTGTGTATAGTATGTCAGTGATGTCAGCTACGTCTCTATCAGTTGTAACGTGCACTTTTAGAATAGTATTATTATTATTATTTAATTACTGAAAGAATCATATACTGACTGTTTAGGTAATATATTGGAATATCCCATATTCAGTGGTACAGAAGTACTAATGCAAATATTTTTGATCTAGGTACTTTCTCACATTAATTCTGTACTTCTTCTATATTATATAACTTTATATAAAAGTGGTAAATGTGGTAGATACCTAGTTGTTAGTTGACTTAAAGGTTACATTCTGGGAGGACCTAAAAAGGGATGTAATGGAAATAAACCACATTGCTTAATTTTTGGGGGTTACCCTAGGTTATTAACACTGCAAGGTTACAAATCTAAATATTCTTCTGGAATTGTAGAGGTACCCTAGATTAAGGTGTCACATTACTTTTATATATTGTTGCTAACATGGTGAAACCTGCTGACATATTGCTGCAACCTATTCTAATGAAGTATGGATGTAGTACTTCATAAAGAACAGAAGGGCACAGTACCATGACTGGAACAATACACAAATAACTCGTACATAAGAGAGAAGCTTACGATGACGTTTCGGTCCAAGTCGGACTGAAATGTTGTCGTAAGCTTCTTTCTCCAATGTGAGAGTTCTTTGTGTAGTGTTTTAGTACTTTATGATTGTAATATTAACAGAAACACTTCAGTGTTGAAGATAATGGTGTTGTATGCTTGGATAAAATTAACCACTTGTAGGGCCTGCTGCCTCAGTAGTGTTGTGTGCCACAGGTGAGGGCCCAAATGGTATTTCCATTTGGACCCCCGCTTAACGATCACCTCCCAATGCTACCAATTATGTAAGTGTATTTATGTAAGTGCGTTTGTACGTGTATGTTTGGGGGTCTGAAATGGACTAATCTACGTCACAATATTCCTTATGGGAACAAATTCGGTCAGTACTGGCACCTGAACATACTTCAGGAATGAAAAAATATCGTTAACCGGGGGTCCACTGTATAAGTCATACTGATTTTTTGGGGTTATCCTAGGTTAAGTCTACATAAATATTCACTGCAGTTGTATAACAGTCTGTAAACTACAGCTAAGCCTTGATTTAACAGATTTTGGATTTCGGACAAAATCCGATGTTTGGACAAAGTTCAGAAATGACTGTCAAAAATCCATAGTTTCCAAAATTATCTGTTATTGTTACAGTTAATTGGGTAACTTGTTTTCAGATATAACATGCAAAAGCATGTACTGTAGTTCCTAGAATTGTCCTTTACAGTTACAATCGTGAAAAACAGTTAATAAATTAAAATACGTATGTATTTATTTATTTGTTAGATTATGTATTGGTGGGTAAAAGGTTGATGGGTAGGCTCCAGGATGTACATGTTTATAGAGGGGCAACTGATATATCGGATCATTATTTAGTTGTAGCTACAGTTAGAGTAAGAGGTAGATGGGAAAAGAGGAAGGTGGCAACAACAAGTAAGAGGGAGGTGAAAGTGTATAAACTAAGGGAGGAGGAAGTTCGGGGAAGATATAAGCGACTGTTGGCAGAAAGGTGGGCTAGTGCAAAGATGAGTAGCGGGGAAGTTGAAGAGGGTTGGAATAGTTTTAAAAATGCAGTATTAGAATGTGGGGTAGAAGTTTGTGGTTATAGGAGGGTGGGGGCAGGAGGAAAGAGGAGTGATTGGTGGAATGATGAAGTAAAGGGTGTGATAAAAGAGAAAAAGGTAGCTTATGAGAGGTTTTTACAAAGCAGAAGTGTTATAAGAAGAGCAGAGTATATGGAGAGTAAAAGAAAGGTAAAGAGAGTGGTGAGAGAGTGCAAAAGGAGAGCAGATGATAGAGTGGGAGAGGCACTGTCAAGAAATTTTTATGAAAATAAGAAAAATTTTTGGAGTGAGTTAAACAAGTTAAGAAAGCCTAGGGAAAGTATGGATTTGTCCATTAAAAACAGAGTAGGGGAGTTAGTAGATGGGGAGAGGGAGGTATTAGGTAGATGGCGAGAATATTTTGAGGAACTTTTAAATGTTGAGGAAGAAAGGGAGGCGGTAATTTCATGCACTGGTCAGGGAGGTATACCATCTTTTAGGAGTGAAGAAGAGCAGAATGTAAGTGTGGGGGAGGTACGCGAGGCATTACATAGAATGAAAGGGGGTAAAGCAGCTGGAACTGATGGGATCATGGCAGAAATGTTAAAAGCAGGGGGGGATATAGTATTGGAGTGGTTGGTACTTTTGTTTAATAAATGTATGAAAGAGGGGAAGGTACCTAGGGATTGGTGGAGAGCATGTATAGTCCCTTTATATAAAGGGAAAGGGGACAAAAGAGATTGTAAAAATTATAGAGGAATAAGTTTATTGAGTATACCAGGAAAAGTGTACGGTAGGGTTATAATTGAAAGAATTAGAGGTAAGACAGATTGTAGGATTGCGGATGAGCAAGGAGGTTTCAGAGTGGGTAGGGGATGTGTAGATCAAGTGTTTACATTGAAGCATATATGTGAATAGTATTTAGATAAAGGTAGGGAAGTTTTTATTGCATTTATGGATTTAGAAAAGGCATATGATAGAGTGGATAGGGGAGCAATGTGGCAGATGTTGCAAGTACAGTGGACCCCCGGTTAACGATATTTTTTCACTCCAGAAGTATGTTCAGGTGCCAGTACTGACTGAATTTGTTCCCATAAGGAATATTGTGAAGTACATAGATTAGTCCATTTAAGACCCCCCAAACATACACGTACAAACGCACTTACATAAATACACTTACATAATTGGTCGCATTCGGAGGTGATCGCTATGCGGGGGTCCACTGTATATGGAATAGGTGGTAAGTTACTAAATGCTGTAAAGAGTTTTTATGAGGATAGTGAGGCTCAGGTTAGGGTGTGTAGAAGAGAGGGAGACTACTTCCCGGTAAAAGTAGGTCTTAGACAAGGATGTGTAATGTCACCATGGTTGTTTAATATATTTATAGATGGGGTTGTAAAAGAAGTAAATGCTAGGGTGTTCAGGAGAGGGGTAGGATTAAATTATGGGGAATCAAATTCAAAATGGGAATTAACACAGTTACTTTTTGCTGTTGATACTGTGCTTATGGGAGATTCTAAAGAAAAATTGCAAAGGTTAGTGGATGAGTTTGGGAATGTGTGTAAAGGTAGAAAGTTGAAAGTGAACATAGAAAAGAGTAAGGTGATGAGGGTATCAAATGATTTAGATAAAGAAAAATTTGATATCAAATTGGGGAGGAGGAGTATGGAAGAAGTGAATGTTTTCAAATAGGTACTTGGGAGTTGATGTGTCGGCGGATGGATTTATGAAGGATGAGGTTAATCATAGAATTGATGAGGGGAAAAAAGGCGAGTGGTGCATTGAGGTATATGTGGAGTCAAAAAACGTTATCTATGGAGGCAAAGAAGGGAATGTATGAAAGTATAGTAGTACCAACACTCTTATATGGGTGTGAAGCTTGGGTGGTAAATGCAGCAGCGAGGAGACGGTTGGAGGCAGTGGAGATGTCCTGTCTAAGGGCAATGTGTGGTGTAAATATTATGCAGAAAATTCGGAGTGTGGAAATTAGGAAAAGGTGTGGAGTTAATAAAAGTATTAGTCAGAGGGCAGAAGAGGGGTTGTTGAGGTGGTTTGGTCATTTAGAGAGAATGGATCAAAGTAGAATGACATGGAAAGCATATAAATCTATAGGGGAAGGAAGGCGAGGTAGGGGTCGTCCTCGAAAGGGTTGGAGAGAGGGGGTAAAGGAGGTTTTGTGGGCAAGGGGCTTGGACTTCCAGCAAGCGTGCGTGAGCGTGTTGGATAGGAGTGAATGGAGACGAATGGTACTTGGGACCTGACGATCTGTTGGAGTGTGAGCAGGGTAATATTTAGTGAAGGGATTCAGAGAAACTGGTTATTTTCATATAGTCGGACTTGAGTCCTGGAAATGGGAAGTACAATGCCTGCACTTTAAAGGAGGAGTTTGGGATATTGGCAGTTTGGAGGGATATGTTGTGTATCTTTATACGTATATGCTTCTAAACTGTTGTATTCTGAGCACCTCTGCAAAAACAGTGATTATGTGTAAGTGTGGTGAAAGTGTTGAATGATGATGAAAGCATTTTCTTTTTGGGGATTTTCTTTCTTTTTTGGGTCACCCTGCCTCGGTGGGAGACGGCCGACTTGTTGAAAAAAAAAAAATTATTTATTAAATATACTGTACATTGAAGTTACTATGGATGGTTTTGGAGTTTGCAGGAGTAATAACTAGAGGAAAGCAGATACACGAGAATAAATTACATGAACATAAAAAGAAGAAATTAGCTTATAACATTTCCTTTTTCTGTACTGTAGTTTCGTTTATTAGGCACCTTTTATTTCTTTTCCTAAACTGGCTTATGCTGAAGCTGACCTTGACATGGTCAGTCAGCCCACTCCACTCCACTCCTTTATTGCTGAAGGTGTTTGAGGCCTGACCTCTTGTAGGTACATACAACAAAATTTTGTATGCCTCTCACAAATTAGAATCTTTAGACTGTTGTTGTAAAAAATACTGGTTAATCAATTTGGGGGTTTGACAAGTTTTTTATTTTTTTTTATTTTACTGCCCTTACCTTAGCTCCATTATATCACTGGTGTGAATATAGCATGAAGATGAAAATACTTGTACATTCTCACCCAGTTTATTACTCAGTGTGATTGTTAAGCAAAGAATAGTGTCACTGGAGACATTTTGGAGCTGTGAATGCTCTACCTTTACAATGGATTTCTTTGTTATATGATATAATATTTCAGAATGTCAGGAAAGGTGAAGCAGCGGAATACAGCCAACACTGCTGAGGCAGCTACTGTCACTGTGAATGAAAAGATCCTGAAAGAATGTCATAATCTCTACACCGATCCTGATAATGGTAAAGTACTGTACTTGTACATACATATAGTATATACTGTACCATATGTTGCATTACAGTTCTTGAATATACGTATTATATATGATTAAGCATGAATTATTATTATTATTACTGTATTATTAATCAGTAGTTTTTGTATGTACATACTGTACTGGTTCATATTATTTTTTAATAATGATAAAAGTAATTGTAGTAATGTGGAATAACTTGCTAGTAATGTATGTGAAGGGACCATAGCCAAACAAGAGTAAAAGAAATGGTTCAATAATGCAGTTTTGTTATACAGTATTTGTTTTATTTTCCTAGCTGCGTGTAGAGGGGCCGAGATCCATCTTCTACCACAGTATATTGTCTCAAAGTTTATTCCACTTCTTTGCTCTCCAAACACTACAGAGTATGTTGTATGTTGTGATCATGCCTTCCCTAGAGTTATCTTCCTCCAGACATAAATGACTTCAGTGCATTCTTTCCTCAGCTCTTGCCTCTCATTTCTGATGCAAGTGTGATGGTGACCCTCCAAACTTCTCTCTAGCTATTTGTGCTTGACTGGTGACTTCCATATTTGTACTGCACTGTATCTAGTTTGTCAAGTCACTGAGATTGAAATTCACCTGTACATACTCCTTTCAGTAAATCCTGTTCCTGTCTTGTGTATTTTATGTGATGGTGTAGTGATATGAGAATTCCTTCAGGTTCCCACAGGCTGTTCTTACATTTGATAATCTAGCATAAAATGCTGATGCATGTGTGATATTGAATAACTCTTATACTACTGGATTAACCTACATTGGAAAGTTAGAGACATTGCAGATATTTTCAGAGCCCTCTTTAGGCGAGTAATAAAACAGTAGGAGGGTACAGCAAATGAGTCAGGGCCCCAAAGTAGCAGAACATAAGGAAAAGGAGCAGTGCAACAGGTTTACTGGCCCTCACAGTCCCACACAGGGATGATGGACCTTGCATGATAACCATGGATGCCTTTGCCTTACATTGTGTTGGTTAACAATCTTCACCAGTGGTTTACCAAATGTCAGAAGAAATGTGTTCAAAAGGGGCTCAATATTCTCATTTAGGTTACTGCATTAAAATATGGAGCTTTACTAATCATTACAGAATCGCTCATCTTTCTTTACCATGTATTGTTAACACCATCAACAATTTAGCATCAGTGAAACTTGGTGACGAAAAGACACTATAGAGCTATTGTTTGAACAATGCTTTGCTTTGTTGAGCTGTATCAAATAATTCTGTCTCTATACATGCATGAAAGGATACTGCATTATCATCATCACATGTACAGAATATCTTTGATGATACTGTTGAAGTGTAAAATAATTCATCTCATTAGTATAATTTTCATCACAGTTAAAGCAAGGAATTTTATATTAGTATAAGTATCTTTTTCTGTCTCATAAACACGCTAAGATAACAGGGATATCTTGCTACTCCTACTTACACTTTGGTCACACTTCACAGACACGCACATGCATATATATATATACATACATCTAGGTTTTTCTCCTTTTTCTAAATAGCTCTTGTTCTTTTTTATTTCTTCTATTGTCCATGGGGAAGTGGAAAAGAATCTTTCCTCCGTAAGCCATGCGTGTCGTATGAGGCGACTAAAATGCCGGGAGCAATGGGCTAGTAACCCCTTCTCCTGTATACAATTACTAAAAAAGAGAAGAAGAAAAACTTTATAAAACTGGGTTGCTTAAATGTGCGTGGATGTAGTGCGGATGACAAGAAACAGATGATTGCTGATGTTATGAATGAAAAGAAGTTGGATGTCCTGGCCCTAAGCGAAACAAAGCTGAAGGGGGTAGGAGAGTTTCAGTGGGGGGAAATAAATGGGATTAAATCTGGAGTATCTGAGAGAGTTAGAGCAAAGGAAGGGGTAGCAGTAATGTCAAATGATCAGTTATGGAAGGAGAAAAGAGAATATGAATGTGTAAATTCAAGAATTATGTGGATTAAAGTAAAGGTTGGATGCGAGAAGTGGGTCATAATAAGAGTGTATGCACCTGGAGAAGAGAGGAATGCAGAGGAGAGAGAGAGATTTTGGGAGATGTTAAGTGAATGTATAGGAGCCTTTGAACCAAGTGAGAGAGTAATTGTGGTAGGGGACTTGAATGCTAAAGTAGGAGAAACTTTTAGAGAGGGGTGGTAGGTAAGTTTGGGGTGCCAGGTGTAAATGATAATGGGAGCCCTTTGATTGAACTTTGTATAGAAAGGGGTTTAGTTATAGGTAATACATATTTTAAGAAAAAGAGGATAAATAAGTATACACGATATGATGTAGGGCGAAATGACAGTAGTTTGTTGGATTATGTATTGGTAGATAAAAGACTGTTGAGTAGACTTCAGGATGTACATGTTTATAGAGGGGCCACAGATATATCAGATCACTTTCTAGTTGTAGCTACACTGAGAGTAAAAGGTAGATGGGATACAAGGAGAATAGAAGCATCAGGGAAGAGAGAGGTGAAGGTTTATAAACTAAAAGAGGAGGCAGTTAGGGTAAGATATAAACAGCTATTGGAGGATAGATGGGCTAATGAGAGCATAGGCAATGGGGTCGAAGAGGTATGGGGTAGGTTTAAAAATGTAGTGTTAGAGTGTTCAGCAGAAGTTTGTGGTTACAGGAAAGTGGGTGCAGGAGGGAAGAGGAGCGATTGGTGGAATGATGATGTAAAGAGAGTAGTAAGGGAGAAAAAGTTAGCATATGAGAAGTTTTTACAAAGTAGAAGTGATGCAAGGAGGGAAGAGTATATGGAGAAAAAGAGAGAAGTTAAGAGAGTGGTGAAGCAATGTAAAAAGAGAGCAAATGAGAGAGTGGGTGAGATGTTATCAACAAATTTTGTTGAAAATAAGAAAAAGTTTTGGAGTGAGATTAACAAGTTAAGAAAGCCTAGAGAACAAATGGATTTGTCAGTTAAAAATAGGAGAGGAGAGTTATTAAATGGAGAGTTAGAGGTATTGGGAAGATGGAAGGAATATTTTGAGGAATTGTTAAATGTTGATGAAGATAGGGAAGCTGTGATTTCGTGTATAGGGCAAGGAGGAATAACATCTTGTAGGAGTGAGGAAGAGCCAGTTGTGAGTGTGGGGGAAGTTCGTGAGGCAGTAGGTAAAATGAAAGGGGGTAAGGCAGCCGGGATTGATGGGATAAAGATAGAAATGTTAAAAGCAGGTGGGGATATAGTTTTGGAGTGGTTGGTGCAATTATTTAATAAATGTATGGAAGAGGGTAAGGTACCTAGGGATTGGCAGAGAGCATGCATAGTTCCTTTGTATAAAGGCAAAGGGGATAAAAGAGAGTGCAAAAATTATAGGGGGATAAGTCTGTTGAGTGTACCTGGTAAAGTGTATGGTAGAGTTATAATTGAAAGAATTAAGAGTAAGACGGAGAATAGGATAGCAGATGAACAAGGAGGCTTTAGGAAAGGTAGGGGGTGTGTGGACCAGGTGTTTACAGTGAAACATATAAGTGAACAGTATTTAGATAAGGCTAAAGAGGTCTTTGTGGCATTTATGGATTTGGAAAAGGCGTATGACAGGGTGGATAGGGGGGCAATGTGGCAGATGTTGCAAGTGTATGGTGTAGGAGGTAGGTTACTGAAAGCAGTGAAGAGTTTTTACGAGGATAGTGAGGCTCAAGTTAGAGTATGTAGGAAAGAGGGAAATTTTTTCCCAGTAAAAGTAGGCCTTAGACAAGGATGTGTGATGTCACCGTGGTTGTTTAATATATTTATAGATGGGGTTGTAAGAGAAGTAAATGCGAGGGTCTTGGCAAGAGGCGTGGAGTTAAAAGATAAAGAATCACACACAAAGTGGGAGTTGTCACAGCTGCTCTTTGCTGATGACACTGTGCTCTTGGGAGATTCTGAAGAGAAGTTGCAGAGATTGGTGGATGAATTTGGTAGGGTGTGCAAAAGAAGAAAATTAAAGGTGAATACAGGAAAGAGTAAGGTTATGAGGATAACAAAAAGATTAGGTGATGAAAGATTGAATATCAGATTGGAGGGAGAGAGTATGGAGGAGGTGAACGTATTCAGATATTTGGGAGTGGACGTGTCAGCGGATGGGTCTATGAAAGATGAGGTGAATCATAGAATTGATGAGGGAAAAAGAGTGAGTGGTGCACTTAGGAGTCTGTGGAGACAAAGAACTTTGTCCTTGGAGGCAAAGAGGGGAATGTATGAGAGTATAGTTTTACCAACGCTCTTATATGGGTGTGAAGCGTGGGTGATGAATGTTGCAGCGAGGAGAAGGCTGGAGGCAGTGGAGATGTCATGTCTGAGGGCAATGTGTGGTGTGAATATAATGCAGAGAATTCGTAGTTTGGAAGTTAGGAGGAGGTGCGGGATTACCAAAACTGTTGTCCAGAGGGCTGAGGAAGGGTTGTTGAGGTGGTTCGGACATGTAGAGAGAATGGAGCGAAACAGAATGACTTCAAGAGTGTATCAGTCTGTAGTGGAAGGAAGGCGGGGTAGGGGTCGGCCTAGGAAGGGTTGGAGGGAGGGGTAAAGGAGGTTTTGTGTGCGAGGGGCTTGGACTTCCAGCAGGCATGCGTGAGCGTGTTTGATAGGAGTGAATGGAGACAAATGGTTTTTAATACTTGACGTGCTGTTGGAGTGTGAGCAAAGTAACATTTATGAAGGGATTCAGGGAAACCGGCAGGCCGGACTTGAGTCCTGGAGATGGGAAGTACAGTGCCTGCACTCTGAAGGAGGGGTGTTAATGTTGCAGTTTAAAAACTGTAGTGTAAAGCACCCTTCTGGCAAGACAGTGATGGAGTGAATGATGGTGAAAGTTTTTCTTTTTCGGGCCACCCTGCCTTGGTGGGAATCGGCCGGTGTGATAATAATAAATAATAAAATCTTTAAAAAAAGTTTGTGAATGCAAAATCTTACCAATGCAAAAGCCCCTAACATGAAATGAGCAAATAATTGTAGATGTTGGTGTGGTGGTAGGAGGAGGATTGAGATGGTTTGGTT